GATGACTTTGCAGATGTCAGGGATTTCCCGTCGTCGCATAAATGTCCTATATAAAATATCATCCCATTACTTTGTCTTAAGCTGCTGTCTTTACTCTGTGAATATAGAAAGAAACTATCGTATATTATTTTTGTAATGAACTACTGCGTTTACCTGTAAAAAAAATATACTTCTGATTAGAAAATTTTCTAGTAAGAGTAACGTATGAATCGCAACCCGAAAAAAAAATCATTGTCGAGAGACGGCAAAGCCGGTTTCAACAAAACGTTTCTTGGCGTGAGGCAATATATAGAGAAAGAAGACATTCAAGTAATAGTTATTGTATATTTATTATGGTGTATCCTGAGTTATTTGGACGAGGGGCGGTGACGAGTGCGAAGCACGAGTCTCCGCCCTTCGTCCAAATAAGTCAGGATACACCATAATAAATATTCAATAACTTTCTTGTATCATGGCCAATCAAATGTCATGTCACAAATTTCCATGCATGATTTTTAAGTGCACCAATAGAATATGTGGTTTTTGTCAGGTGACTGCATGGATAAACTCTCCTTCCTGACATTTTTTTTAATTTACACATTTTTCGTTTGTCTGTTCGTGAGAAATGACGTCGGATTGCAGCATACCAGCTTAATATATCAACACGGATCATTAATGAAATTCACAAGAAAATCTAAATCGATACCTTTAAAGAAGGAAAATTCGAAGTTGAAGAAGAAAAATCAGGTGTATTCGAAAAAAAAAAGATAACCGTTGATCATTTGACATATTCGAGAGCTGTCGCATCCCCTTGTCAGGCCCGTAGATGCAGTACAGTACAGTACACTTTATTCTTGTTGAGCAAAGAACACAGCAAAGACGGTAAATGTCCAACTAAAGCGCTATATTACATTAGATGTGATATTTTAATATATTTCTGTGTAGAATTAATGTCGAGAACTTGATTTTCGTTGCGATGGATGGAATTATTGCACTGTAGCAGAGTTCCGTAAAAGCATTTCGTAGTTTGGGGTACGCACTGTAATTTGTATGAAAGACTTTTATTTCACTTGCAGGAATTTTGTTTTTGTACATGTAACAAATCCCATGCCAGTTCATTGTGTAATTCAGATTCAATATATATACATGTAATTTAAAATGATGAAGTCGCTTTGGTGTTCAATAATTTATTTACACGGCACAGTTTTAGCTGGCTCCGCCCATCGGTGTATCTCCAGTTATTGTACACTTGACTTCAAAGGAAAAACACCGCAGCCATGATACAAACTGAAGTTTGGTACTGTTTTTGAAATATTTCCAGAATGTTTTTAAAACTTCAACAACCGATTAGATGATTGCATAATTATTTGTAGCATGACCTGAGTCTTTGTAAATTTAAAGATTTACTGTATACAGGGTTATTTTAGCCCTTTTGAATGAATGGACAATTTTGCCTCGTTTTAAATTCGCCGAGTCATAGTTCTGTTTAAGAAATCATGAAGTGTAATTTGAAATGGACCCTTTTTAGGTTCGCCCAATCAGGAAGAGGGGGAAAGGCGCAAAAATAAACCGGGAGCAAAAATTTCCCTGTATACAGAAGCTTTAAAGAAAATTTAATTTTATAAATATAAATTGCATCTATTTTTAATTATGTTTTTTTAAGTTTGCACTTTATTCAACCTCCATTCTGGAAAAGAAATTTACATGAGAAAATATCAAGTTGAAAGAAAACGTATGATGAGTCTTTCAAACACAACACCCACGCAGTTTCAATATTTTAAAATGACCCAAGAACTTTTTTTTCATTTTGTAAGCCATCTAATTTCTTTTCTCGTAAAATATTTGAACAAGAAATGATTTTGATCGATCAAAGATGTCTTTTAAGTAATAACTTTTTTGCGAGTCTTTCGGATTTTTAACACTTGCACACAAGGCTTGGTAATGATAAAACAGCGGTAAACATTGTTCAAAGGTTAAAACTTCTCATAGTTTGTGTACATTATGATCATAGAATATGAACTTACCTTTATAAACTGTAATTGGGCGAGTTTTGGAGGTTTAACTGATTTGTTCTCAAATCCAAAACGATTTTTCAATATAAGAAAAATAAAAATAACTAATTTAGCTAATTGCACGATAAACAAGAAATTTATATCATAAAGTACTTTGCATAGTTTAGTCCAGATCAGAAATGAGCAATAAATATAAAAATATTGCACCTAAAAAGTTATATCATTGCATTTCTTGTACCCGTGTAACAGTGTTGGACGGGATTTAATATTGTCTTTGTTTGCAATGGTTTATTCTTGTTCGAAATGGAATTGCAGTATTTTGCACAAGGATCAATGTTAAGCAATGTCTTGATTTACTGATATTAAGGACTTTCATTTGATTGTCTAATATTCTTCATAAGATAATAACAATTATTTTTTTGTTCTCGTTAAATAGATATTAATGTCTAAAAAGTCATTTTTAAAAAATATTTTCTGAATATTCTCCCGAAAAATTCTTTCTTAAAGAACATTTCTGTCTTATGTACATATAGTTTATTTTACAATTTTATTTAAAAAAAAATCATTAATTGAGAGAATTTAAAACACGTGTGTTAAGGTCACCTAAATTATATACATGTGTACTAGATAATTAACTCTCAAATCTCTATTGTCATGCTTCACAACCGAAAACTGATGAACGGTACGGCCCGGGTTTCTCTCAACATGAATGACAGTTGTAGCATTATCACAATTAACTACTGAAGTCATTAAAAAATAGGTGTCATGATTGAAATGCTAGAGAAATTAATCATGGCGGCTGCCGATTGTAGCCATGGCGCAGCTCTTTAAACCATGGCGCACATTAATTTAACCACGGAGGGTCGCCATAGTAAAATGTGGAGAAGCAGTGAGTTTTAAAAGACCACATATTTTATGTACCTGGTGAACGCGTAAAAATTTGCCTCGTAGTACATGTTTTTCTTGGACAACTACTTTTAATCTTTATACTATATGAACAATAATGTCTATACAGAAAAATTCTTTAAAAAAAAACGTTATTGATAAGTTTATAATACTGCACTCTCTTTCATGAATAGTTTGAATTTGCAACATGAATGTATTGATGATTTTTTTAAAATTATATTTTCAAATAGCTACAATATTGGTGAGGTAGCTATCACATGAGAAAATTAAAAATTAGTTTGTATATTATATGATTTTTTTTTAAAAGCGATGTTTTCCTGCTTTTACTGAAAACCAAGGGGAACTTACTTGTTTTCTTCTTTTTCGTATACAAAAGGCAATCACAACAGATGATGCAAGTATAAAAACAACCGTAGATACTGTGATCAAGCTGGAAGTAAAGAGGAAATATACATTAAGGACAGACGATGTTCCTTAATAATAGAAAAAAAAAATTATTTTTTTTTTCATTGAAGTTTTGCTACCTAAACATGTTTACTCACAAAAAATTGAGGTACCTTACCAGGCATTTCTGCAAAATAGGGGTAGTTTTTCTTATATAATCCTTTGGGGAAGAAAAATTATTTTCCAATTTCAAATGTTTAAGGGTTTTGATTTTTTAAAAACGTTTAGAAACTAGTTTAGAAATCAGAATGTTATTAAAATTTTTGATATTTTTCATGCATTACGAAGATATACAAAACAGATTTTAAGGAACGTCTCGTCTGACCTTAAAACAGGATTACTTGCTTAAATGTTGATTCGAGGACTGTTTAACTAAGAATTAAATTGATATCTTTGGATGTCCTCGGTCCTTTAACACACCTGGCTGTACCAACAAACTGTAAAATAATTCGTCGGCACGACCAGGTGTGTAATAGGACCGAACGCATCCCAAAGTATGAATTCAATGGTGATATTTACATACTCTAATTTCACCCTTTTTAATGTTTTATTCGCTTATCTTTTGTGTGAATATAAAAAAAAAATATTTCAAATTCGTTGTGTTTAAAATATGTTTAAAGATTCATGAGTGACGTTGCAAAGTTAAATAACGCAAAAGGGCATTGTTAGGGGAGAAAATGACACATTATTTTAAAGCTCTTATTTGTAGTATTTCTAAGTCAATTTCACAAGGTTCTTTATATAATTGAGTTTCAACCTTTGCATTTTGGTGTTCATAGAGTATTGAAAATGCATGTAGGCCCAACAGTGTGGTCCCACTCGAGTTTGTTACGAAAAGATTTCTAATGGTTAACATTAAGACAATTACACAAAATGTAAAATATTTTTGTGTAGGCACGTCAGGGTAAGGATTAGGATCAGGTTTAGGATTTGGATAAGGGTTAGGTCTTGTTAAGTCAGTGTTAGAGTACGGGCAAAATATAAACAATTATATTAATGTATGATTCAAAATCTTGGGATTTATCTACCATACAGTCTAACATCTTTGAGTAAAATACAGCGTTCTGAGATGTTTTCGGACTAGGAACATCCAAACTTTCCTTTTAACAATCAAAACATTAAATAGTGCCTATAGTCAAGCTTATCCGCTGTAAAAAGTAGTACGAATTTGAAGAATCCACAATTATGAAATTAAGAAATATTACATCATTTCATATTTCCAAGTTTTGACTTTTATATTTTGCTCCTTTGAAGGTAATCGATTTCATGTATTAAGCACTTTTCGTGGAAAAAAAGTAAAAAAGTAACATGATCGTAAATCGAACGTCAAGAAACATTTTGTGACCTGCTTTGGTTTTATATTATTTGGTATTCAACGGCAGGTCAAAAATTTTTTTTTCATTTTTTTTGTATAGAAAAAACAAATAACAAATTTTTTCAATGGAAAAAAAAATAAAATCGCCTTTATTAATTTTAAAATGTACATTAATAAGAAGAAATATCATTTAAGGTATTTTCAACCCTTGTGAAAAAACAGGTAACCTGGTTGCCATGGAAACAAGACCATTTGGTCACTTTCAATAATACTTTTTTAAATCGGGCTTATAACGTTGTTATTTAGCCAATTTTCAACAAAATCCGTGAGAATCAATTTCTAGCCTATTTTGATGCTAACAGAGAATGACTCTTAAAAATAAAATTTAGAGTTGTACACTTCTTTTCGTCACAAGACCTGGAGCCATTTCCAGTTTTATTGATTATACTGTAACATTCTGGATCTGCAGGTAAAATTGTATTAATCAGAATAACATATATTCAATTTTGTTTTCTATTAAACAAAAAAGAAAACTAAATCAATATATCATTTTGGTCCTTTTTTCAAGGTTGATCTACATTGTGATCTATATACTGCTGCCCTACATTAAAAAACAATGCAAACAAGAAAAGGATGTCAAAATGCAAGATAATTATGTAATCAACCTAGTTATCCATCATTTAAAAAAAATTAAATTCTAATATCGGTAGATTAAGATAATAACACTAGTTTCTGATAGTATACATACATATACAATGCTCAATATACTAGTACTTATCTCGACATGCGAGTAAATTATCTAAACTTGCAATTTATTGGTATCGCAATCATCGGGCGTGATAATTATTATGATAGGCGACTTGTTTTTGTCAACATGCAAGTAGATTATTATTTTGATATTCAAAATTGATGTGATTGATTGATTGTATATTGTTTAACGTCCCTCTCTACGATTTTTTCACTCATATTAAGACGCCACCACTTGTCGGTGTAGAGCTGCAAATCTTGTTCTTAAAACGGCACTCAGGGCCATTGATCAGGGAGGGATCTTTTGCGTTCCAGCCCATACTACAACTCAGGACCTTGGTTTATACGGTCTCATCTGAAAGACTGCGGTCTCCACGTCTTTCATTAGGATTCGAACCCGCGACGTAAGGATCAACTCCTTACTTTGCGACTCTATACAGCCAATTGTGCCTAACGTTAATTTAGTGTTAATCTCAATTAACATTAAATTAACGTTAGCTTGATGTAAGTTTAATGTTACTTTCGTGTTAAATTAATGTTAAAAATATTAACATTAATTTAACGTTAATTTTTAACTTTAACTTAACATTAAGTTAACGTTAATTTAACTTAACATTAATTTCATGTTAATTTTTAACATTAAATTAACATTAAAATTTAAAGTGGTCTTAAAAAACTAGAACCAAAATATTAACATGAGATTAACGTTAATTCTTTAATGTTAATTTCATGTTAATTAGAATAGACAAGATTAATGTTATTATTCAAATTTTAGACCTAACTTTAAACAATACTTCAATACTTGCCAATCATTTTAGTGACATTTAATTAATTATTAAGATGTCCATACGTGGATACTCAAAACCGGCGAGGTTGGAGGTGGGGGGGGGGGGTATTGGCACTTGTGTCGGAAAGAAATTTTTAACCCAAATATATACAGTTGTGTTAGTATTATACCATTTGGTTCAAAAAGTATTTCCGACACAATTTATTTTCGACACAAGTCACTCTGTGTTTGTGTAAGGGTGTGTTACACGTGTGGGTTTGGGAAAGGGGGTGCTCTTACTGTTCACAACCTCTTCACCTCGTCAATTTTTTTTTCATACATTCTTTAGAAAATAATTTATCTAGACTTAAATTATAAGCTTTATGTCTATCTTTCAAAATGTCAACTTGGATTTGGATTTTTTCCGGCTAAAAATGGTCCGTAGCTTTTCTCAGGATCGGTTTTGTTTTTATCGGCCGAAACTGTACGTCATGTTTGACGTCATCAGCTGTAACAGACAGAGGAAAAGGGATTTATCAAGTCTCTGTTAAAAGTAAGTATTTTGTAGTCTTTGTAATATTACGTTTTTTAAAGAGTTTCATAATTTCAGAGGCCCCTAAATGTTTGAACTTTATGTACGGCAACATAACGCATAATTACTCAACAGTCCTTGCAGGCTATCTGTATCTCCTATAAGCTTTTTCACTGCGGTATATTGTGTCGTAGGCTGTGAACGACGTGCCAGATCTCTGCTATGTTGGGTATTTGTATATCAGCATTATTATTTTTATTAGGTCTATTTATTGTTCAGTTGGTTAAATTTGTTTGAACACTGAACAGCTGCTGAAGCCTACTGGTACAGCTGTACTGCGTACGATATGGAGAAAATTCGAAAGTGAAAGTAGAAATTGTGTACAAGTTAACAATAATCTTCTCGAAGTTGAAGTTAAACACGTAATTTGCGCGATATTTTCCCTGATTCTAACAGTTCATCTTAATTGGTTTCATCATTATCGAGAAAAAAACCGATCTGATATTTGTTTTTATTGTATTTGAACAGCTGGAACTCGGTATCACATCTGACTCGCACTTCTGAAATGGATCAAATAGGACTTTGTCGTTGAGACTCGGAAGAACCCAGCAGCCTAAATTATAATGCCAGTGGAACTCAAAACAGGTATTGAAAGTGAAACAAAATGTAAATAATTCCCACAGTAAATGTAATGACAGTGAAATTTACATTCACACACCCCAACTGATTTTTTTTTAAAAAAATACCAGTTAAGTACTTGTCACTACTTGACACTTGTCAATATTTTGTTCATAAACATTCTATAAGCATTATTAAATCAAGATTTTTTCTTTTACTGCATAATACAGAAAAGATACTTGTATGCAAGACATGGAGAAAAGAGCAGACTACAGCATCTATATATATACCATTCCTTGTTGCCTCCTTGAATTGATGTTTTTCAGGATAACCATGCAGGAATAAAGGTTATTTATAAAATAGTATATACATAGTGTATTCATGATTTTTATTTAGAAAAATTTTATTAATTGATCTAGAGTTAATGAGACAAATTTAAAGCCAAGTTGCTTTCACTGTACTAAAAGTTTGCTTTGAATCAGTCGCTGCACATAAAATTTGGTTTCTATCCATGAATATCATAAATGTTGAAGATATTACATTTCAAATAAATTATTTTTTTTATTTTTTTTTTATAATTGTAGGTTTACTCAGTATAAAGTCTTGCTGACATGAACATGATAATCACAAGAAAGTGAATATATTTCATCACTGTAAGCAATCTTCAAAATACCAGGTAAATTGCCTTTATTCCGAACACGTATCAAATATTTAAACCCATTTAATATGTCACCCCTAAATTTTTTTAAAAGTATACTGGAAACACAATGTCTGTTTGCCAGTCTCTCTGTATAGTAATAAATATAGAAGTATAAAGTTTTAAATATTAGTAGCTTTTTAGTTCACCTGAGCCGAAAGCTCAAGTGAACTTTTCAGATCACATTTTGTTCGGCGTATGTCTGTCCATCTGTGAACTTTTCACATTTTCCACTTCTTCTCAAGAACCACTGGGCCAGGAAAGATGGAACTTAAATGGAAGCATTCTGAGATAGTGTACTTTCAAGCCTCTTCAACCCAGGGTGGGGGGGGCACAATGGACTTTCAGTCTTACTTAAGAATTAAGGTATTTTTAAACCTTTCTATCCGTACATAACTATCGGTTGGTCATGACTTGCAAGATTAAACCCATAAAGCCTGAAGGGAATTATAATGAATTTAATCTCGTACCAACCCGTATTTTTAGCCCGTTGGATATTTTAAAATGATACCTTCTTACTTGTATTTTCATTTGCATCTTATTCGTACTTTATATTTGCCTTATCACGCTGTTTGTGGCTTTTAACATGTGAAATGCATTATTTTTCAAAATCAATGGCATGTATACAAGACACTGAATGTGTGTCGACCCTTTATGACGTCACTGTGAAATTCCATTGTACATTTATCGATACGCACATCTATGACCTCTTGACCGCTGTAGTGTATGTAGATTCAAATTTGTTCCCAAGTTTTACATAGGAATGCATAGGAAAAACCTTTTTAGAATCTTCTCAAAACTTATGTGGAATCATCCTCAGGTAGTGTAGATTCAAGTTTGATCAAATCATGACCCCGGGGGTATGATGGAGCAACAATGTCCGACCAAAATTTACAAAGGAATGCATAGGAAAAAAACTTTTCAAAATCTTCTTCAGAACCATTAGGACAGGAATGATTAATCTCATGACATGATGTGGAAGCATCCATAGGTATTAAATGTAGAATCAATTTGTTCAAATCATGACCCCCGTGGTTAGGGTGTGGCCACAATGAGTTATCACAGACTTGCATAAGAATACATAGGAAAAAGAATCTTCTCCAGAACAGAAAAAAATTGTTTTGTCAAATTGACATGATCTGCAAGTAGTAAAAATTTAAAATTTATTCAAATAATGCCCTGGGGATGGGGGGTTAGCGAGGGGTCACAATGGGAGATCAGGTAATGTGTTGGAAAAATCTTTTAAAGTCTTCTTTTCAAGTATGGCAAAATAATATATGTATGTTGTATTGTAATAGTGACATTTTCAAGTACAAATAGAAAATTCAAATCCCCCTCCCCCAATAAGTATAAAGTAAGCTTCTCAATACTTAATTAACTGATCTGTGTTTTAAGCTAGCCCATGTGCTCAGGTGAGGGATGTGGCCAATGGACCTCTTGTTTCAGTCATTATATTTTAGATGAATTTAGGTTGTTAATATATTGCTGAAGTATTTTATTTTCATATAATTATTATAATATATGTGTTTGCCTCTCTTCTTTTTCAGATTGGAAAAAGAAAGAAGATTTGTAGCATTGTATTGAATGTGCCTGATTAAAAGTATTAATGGATGAATTGGTGTTTTTCTATTTTCTTCAGAAAATTTGAAATCAGAGGCAATGTTCAGAATTTAAGAGATTTTGTTGAAAGAGCTGATGGGTCCCTTTCTCCTTTTGGATATATTTAAATTGAAAAGACAGTGACACCAGGGATGAAGTCAACATGCAAGCCTAGCTTTCTGCAGTGCTACAAGGAAAAGTGCAAAATTGATGAGCTTCTGGTGTACCTTTAGAGAATTAATTTTGATTACATGTAGTATCAGTTAAGCTTCTGCTATGATGCAGGAACATGTATTTTTCTGGAAGAATAGGATGGATAATTCCAAAAATATGCACACAATTTTTATGCATTTTAACGTTAAATTAGTGTGAACTAATTAACGTTAATTTAACGCTTAACGTTAATTTAACATGAAAATAACGTTAATTTAACGTTAATTTTTTTAACGTCAAATTCATGTATAAGCTCGATTAACGTTAATTTAACGTTAAATATTTAACGTT